ACATGCAACAATAGAAAGAAATATAACTTTACTTTTATTAAATAAATACTTGCACTATTAACGAATCATGAGCTATTTCGCTATAAGATACTAGGATCGATTAAATTTTACAGGTTTTACAACAAAATGTTCGTGGTATGGGTATGCCACCGCGTGCCGGTATTCAACCATCGCAACAGCGGTATCCGCCACCCATTCAGAGACCGGTTGTTCCATTTACACCGGGTCCAAATCCTAACAATCCTTCACAGCAACAGCCTAATTGCATACAATCGCAGCAGCAGCAGCAACAAGCCCAAATTAATCGTCATAGACCAAATTTACATCAGCAACAACAACGCAACATGAAGATGCAGCAACAATATTATTCTACTCAAGGTTTGTTTTCGTTATGCCACTTCCATACGACAAAAAATTACCAAATGATTTAATCACTGCGATAATCAGTTTTCTTATGTTCATTCGTTCTCTTCAGGAAACGTGAAAATCGATGCAAACGAAAAAACAGATTCTCATAATGATAAAATCAGCGATGGTAATTCCGGTGCTCAACAAGGAAACACGAAACCCAATGTAAATTCTCAAGACAATGACAATAAGGAAGAAGTGAATCAACCAAACGAATGAATCTAAAGCAAAACAAAAAAAAAACGTTCGTTCTACCCCTTGAAAAATACTGTTTACCGCTACATATTGGTATGACATCGATTGGAAGGTAATTGATAATGATTAATTTGTTGTCACGCGTGGAGCAGGCTACTCTCCAACAGATACTGTATTTATCGACTTAAAGTCGCTTGTGAGCTTAGAATTCATAATCAATAACTTGGCCATGTCTAGCTAGAATAACTTAATCACGATATATTGGGGAAAAAAAAAAGGAAAAGATAGGTGATATCGTCCTTACATACGCCAATACTTTCCCGCGTTAACTATTTACGGAGTTGTATTTCATGAATTCAATGGACGGAACACTTTTATCGAACATTCCTTTTTGTTCGAAAGAATACTGCAAATTGCAGTTGAACAATACCATAAAAACATAGGAAAATGCCCCACCCCCTCCAAATAAAAAATAAAAAAATAAAAAAAGGAACCAATAAACTTGATCGATGCATTGAGAATAAGATTGTTCGGTCTCTAGAAAATGCTTCGACGAAAGAGACTGCAGCATGTTTGACTCGACGATACACCTATACTAGAAGTCGAAAGAGTCAAATAATTGAACTGGTGCGCACAACGTATCCCTTACTCGATGTTAATCGATTATCTTAACAGTTAAATGCATTGACTATGAAGACGACAAATGTGCACAAGACTTACATTTCTGTATATGGACACGACGGCGGTTTGTGGTATACGAATAATGTAAAAGCCAGAGTTTTGTGAGACGTAGTTCGACAAAGATGTTGCACGACCGTTGCCACATTTTATAGAACGACAAAATGGAAGAAAAAGAATTTAAAAAAAACTAAGATCGATTTAAAAAAAAAAAAAAGAAGACTGTTTCGTGTATATCGAAATTGCATAAACATAAAAAATATTCATGCAATGGTCGTATAGATCTGCATGACGTTGTCCCTAATACAGTGTGACAAGTATAAAAGAAAGAAAAAAAAAAAACGTTCGTGTACATTAATCATTTACGGATATGTGAGGTCATGACGAAGCTTGTGAAAAATAAATAGTGCAACAATTGTTTATAGTACTAAATATATTATCATGACCTAGCCATGCTCAGAAAGAGTTATCAGTAATATTAGTAACGTAATGTAAGGTATCGCTTGAAGAAGAACGAAACACGCACTCAGTTTCTTCGTGCGTATTAATATTTCTACTAGGTTGCAGCATTATCGTAATGTACAAGTCGTAGAAAAAGAATTGTATATTCTCTGCTTTTGTTGCGTTTTGCGCAATTATAATTATAATAATTATCATCATCCATTATCATCATTATTACCACCATCGCTACCATCGTCTTTTTCTTCTTCTTCGTCGTCGTCGTTGTCTTCGTCGTCGTCGTCGTCGTCGTCGTCGTCGCCGTCGTTCTGTCGTTCTTGTCATTTTCATCATCATTAACATTATATTATATTTTATTCTATTTTAATTTCAATACTGTCATCGTTGTCATCATAATCATTATTATTATTTCTATTATAATATTATATTGTATGTATTATCATTGCCGTCGTTGTTATTACTGCCACTGCTGCTATTACTTATTACTAGAACCACTACCATCATCGTCAACAATATCGTTATTTCTAAAATTGTCATGGTTATTATTACAATCATGGTCGCCGATGTCGTCGCCCTCGTCATGATCATGGTTGTGCCCATCGTTGCCTGTCGTCGTCGCTACAGCCGCAGCCGCAGCCGCCGTCGTCATCGGTCGTCGGTCGTCGTCGTCGTTGTCGTGGTCCCCTTGTCAGCATTATTTTCATTATCGGAATCCATCACAACCATTATTCGCTACTATTACTATTATTATAAAGATGAAACCAATGAAAATAAACAGTACTATTTACAAGAGTGTATTTTTAACAACTTTATTAAAACAACGAAAACTTATCTAAAATTTTGTGGAATCAGTATGCTACTTACTGCCAGTTACATTGTCAACTATTACTCGCATTCTAATTATCATCTTTGCCAAATATTTATTCGTAGTACTGAACAAAAAAGGAGAAATATGTTACAACTAATTAAACCATTGATAATTTTAATATTCTTAAAATGCATTCATTTGAAACAAAAGGCAATATTCTGTATTGTGCGAATTTTTTTTAATGCCTAATGGCCTTGAACACTAATATGAATTACAATACAGAAATTTATGCTTGAGGTTTAAGATACGGTGCCTTTCACGTACTGCCACATACATGCGCATTTTTTCTATTTTGAGTAGTGTTAAAAAAATAACAGTGTCTCATTTTAGTGCTTTTTTCCATAGTCTAGTGATTGTATCAAAGATGTTTCAAATCAAGAATAAAATAGGTTTTATCTAAAATTGTAATACAATCACTACATTCCAAAGTAATGGCATAAAAAAAAAATGAGACACCCTGTGTAACGTTTTAAAAAACAAATAACGATATTTTGGTAATAATAAGTTTCAATAATGTATTGTTTTTGCATCATTTCAGTTTCTCCATCTTATGTATAAGTAATATTATTAATTGTAATAAGTAGTGTTACTACTACCAATACTGATACCAGTGAACAGTAGCAGCAGTAGTAGTAAGAGCAATAGTATTCTATGTTCAAACTAAATTGCTTGTTTAAGAAAATGTGTTTCTTTACTTATTAATTAAAAGCTAAAAACACCAATCTGTAAATGTGTTTTAACTCAGTGAAAAATTGAAAGAAACCACTTGTGATGCCATTTACTACAATTATGGGAAACATTCTTGAGCACTCAATTCATTTTGGACATTGAACAATAGTAGTAGCAGTAAGATTAGTAGTAGTAGTAATAGTAGTAGTATTAATTTCATTGAAACTATATCCACTACAGCATTATCATTATAAATTAATAGCATCAGTATTAAATTATTATTTATAACACTAAAGCTATCACTACTGCTGCTCATATTATTTTGGCTGCAATAGTAAATATTTTATAATAACATTATTTACTGTTACAGTAGTGCTATTATTTTACATTTGATAATGCCATAATCATATTACATTTGTTATATTTACAATATTATAATTATTTTTGTATTTCTTTTTTATTTCCTCTTACTTCCTGATTTCTATTAGCAGTTTCATTATACTGTTTACATTCTACTTCTTTTTTAGTATTACTATTAACATAATTATCACTAACAATCACCATCATCACCATTATCATGATGATAGTTATTTATTATACAATGAATTTTATACCTCATTTTTCTTGAAATTCGTCGTTAGTATACTACAATGCGCTGTTACACATTTGTAATCAACAATAAGCAATTTCCATTGCTACTATTATAAATCTTGATGTTAATGTTGTTGGTAGTGATATATTTATCATCACTGTCTTCATAATTGATCAAATCAGCTGATAACACGAAGATGAAGAACTGTAAGACGAGTAAGTAATTTTAAAAAATACGGTGCCCGGTCTCGTGTTAAAATAATTGTAACTCGAATATGATGATTTATCTACTTGCTTATTCTCAATAATATGCGCCATGATCTTTTTTTCGAACTGTACATAAAAACATACCGAATACAGGCGCAAGGGTCTGTTTAACTATAGTATAACATACAATGATAATTATTAATTTATAGTAAAATTGTAATATACTAATACGTTTCACAATACAGAAAATGTGAACTGTCTTGATCAGTATCTTTAATTATTTATTATTAATGTCAAATTTGAAAATACTTTGTATAAATAGGTTGAAAGGAGTGAGCACGCGCGTATGTGGATAGTAAAAAGAACTGTTAATGATTATCATTATCACGTTTATACATTTATTATTTCCAACAATATACATATATTTCGCTATACACTTGATTTTAAATTTGATGTTTCATTTTGGAACATTATAAAGATACGCTAGCAGATTATACTTTGCATAAATAATAAATAATACTATTATCCTTTATAAATCGTCGAAGAAATAACTGACATTATAACGGACCCTCGTACCTAAGTCGAACCTGCGAATGATCGCGCGATCGAGCGCAGAAAACGAATGAACTGCGCCCTATAGAAATAACGAGGAACTAAATTGGCGGTAAGCGTTCCTGTTCTATCAAGCCGCCGCCACTTTAATTATTCATAATTAATTAATTACTGGCTGGATCCTCACAAAATCTATATTAGAAAGTTTCTCTAGGAATATAGATTAAGAATCAATTATAAAAATTTATAAACTGTTCGTCAAAAAGATGTTATTAATTTTTCCTTTCACTAATTTTTGGTTCCCTAGAACGAAGTTTAACCGAAATTAATATTAATAACGTATTTACCGCACAAATGGTGAATATACTGAGTTGTAATTAATTGAAGGCTCTTGTCTGGAATATTGTTACCTATGACTATTAGTATCTCTTATCTCTTAGGAGGTGACACCGTTATACATACATACAATTGATAAGAATTTATCGTATTTTGTTGTAATCATAGAACAAAAGCTAATAAAATTTGAATTCTACTGTGCAGACTTAGTGAAAATTAATAGAAGATGGTTTTACGTCATCACGTTAAAGGATACGAAAATTTTCTTGAATTTATGAAGAAGTTCCAAGCTGATCAATCAGTTTATGTACTTTATACTGGTACAAAACTTCCTAACGGTGATAGCTGGTGTCCAGATTGTGTTGAAGGTATGACTTTTCAATTGTAATCATATTTATATTTCATACATAACCTAATTTGTATAGTTTACATCATCTCCCTTAAATAAAAATATATACATATATTAATATACCCATTATAGACATAAATATTTAAAAAATCTTTATTTTTATTACAGCTAAACCTTTTATAGAAAGAGGATTCAAAAAAGCACCTGAAAACGTACATTTAGTTGAAGTTGAAGTTGGAGATCGTGCCTAGTAAGTGTATCTATAGAATTTATATCAGTATAGACTTTAAATATCTCCATTTCAGTTGGAAGAATCTAAATTGTCCATTTAGAACAAATTCCACTACTAAGTTAAGAGTTTTGCCAACGGTGGCAAAATGGGGTACACAAAAAAGACTAGAAGGTGATCAATGTATGGAACTTGATCTCATTGATATGTTGTTAAATGATGATGATTAAAAATCAGGAAGTAATTCTTCAAGTCCCTTATAATAATCATCATGGTTAAACTTTTCATATTGTAATATTACTTTTTATTATCAGAAACTTTAGTAGGATTTCTTATACTTTTTTTTCTTTTTTTCACAAATGTTCCTCCTACCTTTATGGTAAACATATATGTAATTAATTGCAATGCATGTGTAAATATAATGATAGTATTACAGTTACCATAAATGGAACGCTACATCTGTAATGAATAAGTAAAATTTATAAAATTTGTAAAAATTTTCTGGAATGATTTTTGATACTTAGGTATAAATACAGAATGTAATAGTAACATAAGACCATCATTTTCCTTGCGTGCTAATTATGCCCTAAGGAATGTATTTCTTACACATTGCTTTTCTCCTCTCCCTGTTTGTTGCTTTTATTAAGAAGTAGCTGGTGTTATTTCTTGGGAAATTGCCGGCGGTATAACTCGTATGGAGTAATGAATTTTCTTATTTCTCAGAATGCTGTAACTGTTATCAAAAACGACGGAATCTGAAAAAAATAAAATCATCGATAAATCATTGATTGATTTCATTTATATGCACGATCTGCACTTACACGTGGCAGGTACTTCACAGGTCAGGATTCCAATTTCTTCTAATTGATGAGCGGCTACGCGTTTCATAGGGATAACTTCTTTCTTTGTTCCATTTGTGTCCTTTTTCAAAATACCGAATCTAATATCATGATCCTCGGTTCGAAATTCCCAACTGTGGATGTGTATCAATCAGTAAAACTGAACTCGTATAGAAATATATAATTTATGTACCTCAATAGAGATCCCATTTCAGATGCCGACATATCAAGTTCTAATTTACCACCTTTTCGAATCGTCACTGTTGTATAATTCTGATTATCCCTATCCGCATTATTGACGTACATTTCTTTTGCAATTTTACCACCAAGGCAGATCTGAATATAATTTAAACTACTGAAGTTAATTTACAAGTTAATTCGGATTTAGAGGAAGAATCTTTACCTTTGTTCCAAGTTTTGGATTACCATCAGGATCTTTTAAGGTACCTCCAAAGTAAGCAGGTACTTGGTCTTTTGCAATGTTACTAAATATGGCTGATTGCCATTTCGGAGGGTCAGCTTTGTATATTTGAATCTTAGACAATGTGTATTCGTTCATGAATCTTTTGGCAACTGAGAATGCAAAAGCAAACACCTTTGGAGCTGTAAATCAGTGTACACGTTCCAGTTTTGTAATGAACAATTTAAATATTTCATATGCATCGCAGAACTTACCATTAATAATGTAACAAGTCTTTAGAATTTCAGGATAATTAGCCTCGTACATTTGAATCAAAGTTATGACAACTTCTCCGGCTGAAAGAAAGAGCAGAGAAAACATTGACCTTCAATTTCAAAGCATTAATTAATTTCATGGACATATAATAACTATTAATCTTCTGTCATTGTCCATCAAATATTACCTGGTCTCCATAGATACTGCCTTAAATTAAAACCTTGCATGTCAAAGATCACAACTACTTGTCCAGCAGCCGGTCCATGTTTCTCCATCTGTTCCCTGCACAATTCCAGATACTCTTCAAGGCATTTTATGGTAATTCGTATCATGTCCCTTCTTGAAACGACATGTAAAATACCATACATATCAAGTGCATCAAAATACACGACGATAACTGGAACAATAGCGTTGATTTAACAAATTATTATTTGAAACTGAAGGTTTTTATTGAAAGATGAATTTTACCAGGAGCTCCATCCTTATCGAAGCCACATAAACCATGAGGTAAATGGTCTTTCAAAATTTGAGGAGGATCCCATTCAGCTAACTTTTCGACTTCCCATTGTTTTCGCCATTCCAGGGACTGCAAGTGATAAACAAAGGATAAGCATTTAAACTGAGAATAGTTTCAAGTGAAATTGCGTTCTTAGACTTTTCACCAACTGTACTTCCATCTAATATGTTCTATCTACCTGTAAAATCTACACATCATCCAGATAGATATAATCAAAGCGTGATATGCAATTTCCTTCTTGCTCTCTGAAGAGAAAGGATACAGGCTGAAGTATAATATTTAAAAAGAAAGTACAGAATGCCCACCTGGTGTACTGAAATTTTTCGTGCTTTTTCAACGTTATTAATGATAGCAATCAATAATGACACGATACATGCAACCTTACAACATCAATTTAAGAATCAAGTTCCTGATAAAGTGAACGCAACCGCTTAATGGAACTAAATAAAAATATTAATATTTATATCTGGATATATCATCAAGATCATAGCTAATGCGTGTACGCAGCGAACGTGTTAATCAGTTCAAAGACCCGATGGAATTAGGAAACATCGTGGTATCTAGAGCACGCAAGCAAGGAAATGAATTCATTTTTTTTGCTGATCATCGAGCGTGAAAAATACATCAGCAATCAACAGTTTACCACATAGGGCAGATTCGTTAAATTTCCAATTTTTGTAACTCGTTGATTTTCTTTTTTTTATTACATTGACCGATTCTTGCAAATGGAATAGGACATGGAAAAATATGTGAAAGTACAGTGTAAATTCCAATGTGTCCCCGTTTCGAAAGGTTCACCAAGATGATTTTTTGAAAGCAGAAATGTTGATGTTTATATAGTTCTTGCTTAATGTAAATCATTTTTTAAATCATGAAACGTATACTTAATTGATTATAAAATGCATGGATAATTAACATTTCAATATAAACTTACATCTTGGAGCATCTTCTCCGCTGCTGCTGGATCCCATTTTCTGGCTAAAAATAATAAATTGCTTTGAATTATTTTCATCTTAAAATATTCGATGGTATTAAATTACGTTTTCAAAACTCTTTATGTTAACTGTTTAAAATGTAAAGTACAGGATTGATGACACTGCCAGTGTGGAAAAATACCAAAACGAATGACTGTTTGTCTTACAACGTCGATTTTGCAATTTGCATTATACAGAATTTCCGGGACTCTGTTTAATCTTGAATTTCATTTTCCTCAAATTTTATTTGAACTTCTTGCAGTCCGACGTTAAGTCAAACTCTATCTTGTATCTTTTTAATTACTTTATGTTAATATAAAACAATTATTAATACATTGACTCAGTAATCAAAGAGAAAAAAAAGTTTAAATGACATTACTAAGTTTGAAGAAAAATAAGTATGTAAAATATGTAAAATGTATAAATTTGCATAAATATTCATAGTCTACTAATAATATAAAGTGACAGATATGACATGAAATTGAGATCTTAAATTGATGCTATTTTTAACACTTTGATGATTTCTGTATCCGAAAAAAGACTATTCATAGAATTGTTTTTTTACATTGATACAAAATTATCAGCGTATTAAATCATGAATTCAAGATACCAGTTATCAAAGTGTTAATTAGCAAAAAGGAAAAGCACACTGAGACAGTGAAGAAGTGAACAGAAGAGTAAAGAGCTTTGAATCAACGTTAGCGGTGGTCAGTGTCAAGCAATTGAAACGACTTTTATCGTCATGAAACCGCACCGATTACAATCAAATAAATAGATGTAAACGAGCAACCGCAAGTGCCACGCGGGATAGGTCTCGTGGCGCACACGTTTGATTGAGAAACTGTGTTGGACAAACGGTTACAACGAATTTCAAGAATTCATACCTCTGAGCCAACGTAGTAGAAAGTGATCATCGTGATGCGGTTGCAGAATGTTTTGAACCAACCGCCTAAACTGAAACCAGAAGTTCCTTTAAATTATTTCGCCTTACATAACTGCACGCATTTCGTCAGATTGACGCAACGTGTGCACTTACAACTCCTTTTTTTTTTTCCTATGTTACAGTCACGTTCTACTTCATTTACCGTGACACAAGCGCAGCTATTAAGTAGAAGATTATACTTTCAACTTTCTTTCAAACTTCTAATATTTAGTAGATTTTTTCTAACGCCTTAGCTTTATATCTAACACTATATAACAATTTATATTTAACGCAATTAAAGTGAGAAGCCCTCAAATGATTAGTATAATCAATGCTCGGAATATTTATGACAAAATGCATTTACCTCGTCCGAGAGCTCCTTTACAATGTTTCATATCTATAAACTAGTAAAAGTAAAATGTTTTTCTGAGAAGTGCGATTAGCGCAAAAATGTACAACTGACTTATTTCGCATGGTTTACAAAACCGCTTGCAGTTACTTTCACGCAGGTTTTTCAACGATCAAACCAATCCGGTTACCGACGACCAAAATACTGCCCAACGATATTTTGTTCCTTTTATATCTGGCATATAAAACTTTGCTGTGTGTTGTACCAGACAATTCTGATCGTTGTTTGTTACAACTGATTAACATTTTAAAAGCTTTGTTTTTAAATAAAGCACTATGCTATGCAGTATCAAGGAAAACTTTTTCAAATAATAATTAAAAATAAACACTTATACATTTTCGATTCAAAGACGTTTGCAGTTGTTTCTTTTTATAGATATTGTCGCATTGTATAATTCTTTCTTATTTGTTAATCGTTGCAAAAAAAGGGGAAGAAAAACTTCAAAGGTGAAAAGATCACACAATACACACAGCGAACCGGTTCTTTTTTCTTAAGAATCCTTGCACGAGAAACGAGACGAATCCATCTATCTTTCACAAGTTTATTGCATTTTTATAATTAGTATGTTTATAAAACATCTCCTGTCTTATACTTCCGCATACTAAAGCGAAATTGCTTAATTCCTTGTCGATTTAGATTGATCATTAATTAAAAAGGAAACTAAAATCTTTCATGATTTTTAACTGATATCTATAAACAAATCGAGGTGAAAGTGTAAATTTTAAAGAACTAAATAAACTTGCTATCGTTAGATGTACACTCATTGCTTGATAGAAATGAAGATCCTTAAACAAGATCCTGAAACATTGTTGATCCTTGAAAACAGAACATCTGTAACTGTATTCGTGGTATCTATTATATTGAGCTACCGGAGTTTATGTATAATGCGAGAACAGGATATGAATTATCATAACTTTATCATATATTAATTACTTTTTGTTAATCAAGATTACAAAAATTTTCAAGATGTTTCTTTTTACATTACCAGGGATGTAAATTAATTTACATCACTGATGTAATCCCTGAAGTATTAAGTTTATAATTATAATAATTATAATTATAATCATATGATAACAATTTCAATTCCTTGAAACGTGATAATAATTGTTTCAAACATCACTGGAAATATAAAAAGAAAGATGTTGAAAATGTTGGTAATCTTGATTAACAAAAAATAAATGATACATGCTAAAATTATGATAATTCCTATTCTGTTCTCACATACATAAGCTCCGCTACCTCAATACAGTTACAGATGTTTTGTTTTCAAGGATCAACAATGTTTCAGGACCTTGAAGATTTTCAAGACTATCGAATTCCAAGAATTTTTAACATCTGTGCGGCTCTCAATCATGTTTGAATTACTAAAAGATTGACAAGAGAAAGTGTACCAAATCCTCATCATTATACAAACACGTATGCTCGATCAAACCAAGATCTTCCTTTTCCCAATGCGTTAAATGTATACGGTGTATCTATGTGCCGTTATTTTAAAACTTTCTTCGAAATCATAGATTATTGAGCAACGTAACATTTTATGATCACACATTTATCAAGCGCAATTCGAAAGCTCAACAGTTCTGATTTACATAGGCCGTTTACAATCCTGTAAATATCGGTTAATAGGCCCGAGAGATGTATGTCAACGTGTGCACGAATAATCTTCAAGCATCGTCACGCTTAAGCATGTATTGGAAACGGCAAGGGTAAAGAAAGTGCCGTTTTGCTCGCAGGCACCGTTTCTTCTTGATTGCCGAACGAGCATAGCAAAAACACCGTAGGAACCGTGTTTCACGGTGAAACGGTGTTGTTTTAAGTGCAGACATATGTATAAGTCTAAAATGGAGGAAAAACGAAAGGTGGTCGGATCTCCTTTTCCTCTTTAAATAAAAGTGATTTTTCATCGGGAGAAATCTTTCGGATAATCGCTCGTTTTCGACGACTAAAAGTCAGCGAAAGGAAGGTTCAGGATGCGTTATGGTACTCTGGCCTCGTTAGTCGATAATCGGTGACATGAAACAGAGAAAGAAAATGATAATGACTGCTTTTTAAAAAAAAAATAGGAATAAGAAGACGATGAAATGATGTAACTGGAATTATATTTAAATACAGGAAGGAGAATCGGAATTACTCAGAATCTTGTTCTTTGTATCAATATTCTGATTACCCATAATCTTATTCCTTCTATCAACACTATCTGTGATGTCAACTGGAAATTTCCGCGTTCTTTATATTTAAAATCCATCAGCGACAAGTTTCTCCATTATCATAAACATACACGCTTAGTAACGTTAGTTTGCTTGCGAACAATTGATTCGTGTTTGATTTCTGCAGTTTTGTTCAATTTTCTAACTCACTGCCTTCCTTCGTTTAAAGTGACCTCGTAGAACTTGCTGATCGTTGGAATTCTTGCGTGTTGGATTACCGAGGGAACCGATCATCGTCGTATTTTATTCTTTTCTCCTATTGTAAACTTGCAAGCATCATAAAATAATTAAGGCTTCGTTACTCAACAAGCCGCTTAACTCTCTAAGGAGCTATAAAGATCAAATGTGTTACTTAGGGTACTAATAGAAAGTGTGATTCCTTGACAATTATTAAATTGAATACTTTCATATGAAAGCGATTTTTAGAGTCAAATTACAGAAACATTCTCCATAGTTGTACCGGATAGCACAGAATTGACCCCGACCTTTCAACCTCGCCCGAGCATTCATTCGAATCACGCATGCTAACGGTTGAATACAAAGACTTACTTTCATTAACGCGAATCGTTGATCGTCTTCCAACCTTAACGACTTCGACATTTTTTCAGTTTCCTTAGACGTCGACACTTGCAAAACGCTTGCCTGACTCTTGCTGACAGTCGCTTATTTCGCAGCTCTCGCGCTCGATGAAACGTACTCGATTCGGAACTCCCGTCGTCTTTCACGCTCGATGCACCCTGTGCACCCAACACTTTCATCCACCGTTTTTTGATTCCTACGGATAACGGGCAGATATTAATCACAGGGTACATTAATCAAACTCTCGTTAGCATAATTTAAAAGTGAAATAAAATGTTCCAGTTGTTCTGATCGATTAAGCGGAATAGTTTTACTCCGGTTACTGTATGGTAATTTGATTCATTATTATGCGAGGCGGGTACTGTTGCATTGTTGCTGATCATGTTTCTGAACGACTCGTTTCTTCGACCCATTAATTATCAGAGATTGAAAGTATGTTATTCTATGAAATAGTAAAATGTCGCTATAAATTAGTTAATTCATTAAGAAAGATAAACAGCATTGCGCGCTCGATATTTGTGATCCGCGCATCCACTTAAACACGGTATGAAATTACTGTTACGTTAGGGTAATGTTATCAAGCTAAAATTTACAGCAATCTGTTCCAAAGAGACTAATTTCTCTAATGCAATACCTCTATAATATTAAGCGGAACATTGAAAAAATTATAATTCAATTTCAGTGTCTTGACAAAAAGAAATATCGTACAGACGTAATCGATGTAATACATATGAATTTTAACTCTCTCCGCGCGCAGCGTGTTGCAATCAAACAAATTCCCTTCAACCGGTTCCAGGTCACAACCACTATCAAGTGCATAAGCGAAAAGAAACATTACCAAGTAAATTTGAGTTCTTCCCTGTTCACCGGATCGATGAGAACTGTCAATGATCTCGTCGTCGCTTGACGTACAATTCGTAACGTTTGAACACATTCGAATGGCGCATCCTATCCTCCTGTTCGTGTTTCGCGGTTGCTGATTTACTCGACGGCGCAACAGGTGTCTCTTGCAGTCGCCAAACCGCGCTCCGATTCGACAGCCTATTCCTAAACTAAAAATGCGAGCCGCGCGTTGATCTGCACCCAAAGAATGGTAACGTTCTGTTTCCACAGTGTTCTCGATACCGTCGCTACCCGTGCCACGACACCCCACCACTTGTCCCGTTCGTGTCCAGGTTCACAGGTAGGGGAACGAAAATCAATCGAATATCGAGCCGATCGTTTTCGACGGGATGAGCTCCTCTTCTTCCGCCGAATACAGCTTGCACTGGGAACGATGCAGCCTAGAATTGGATAATTTTGAATACACACGAGTCTGTGAGTAAATCTACGGCGTGATGTTGTTTTATAACGTTGATTATAAAATCAATAAATTTCGCGTGTCTCTTACCCTGTTCCTGTTTATTGATTTAAGTGTAACCTTTTCGATCGGTATCATTAGATACAAATTAACTATCCTGATTTCAATGTTTTCATGATGCGTCATATCTTTAAAACCTTGGTAATTTTGAATTCCCGAGTATCCCAGTTTATGTATATAGAACCATATTGCTATTATAAGAAGTATCCTCGCGGGGTGGAGGTGAATCTGAAATCAAACATCGTACCGCCAATTTCAAGATACTAGGCGCGCCATCTGTTAGAGGGTTTAAATATCATGGTAAAAATATTGAGTGGAACCAAGACTGCTAACCTCTCTGTTAAAGCACCGACGAGAGACTAGTAGTCACTGGTGGAACTGACGAGTTAACCTCGATCGATCTCTCCCATTCGAGTCATCGCACAATTCAGACATGGCAGTGATTACAGATCCAAGTCACTGGTCATGGCGTAGAATGACAAGTATTTAGTCGGTTGTCCCGTGAGTGGTTTCTTCGATGTTCAGTTATTATTTCGGTTGATTGGTGTCGAAATTTCGAAGAACCAGTGGCTTATGCAGCTATAATCGTCCAGGTGTTCCTGCATCAAAGAATGCAGATCCATTACAAACAATACGTTATCGGCTTTCTCTGCCGGCATAAATATCAAGATACAAATATTCCACACAATCGAATACATTCATCGGTTTTCAAGCTACACGATATCTCCTGTTATCGGGAACCTGTCGTGTAAGTAACTTTTTATCATTATACACACCGTTTTCAGTAATAAATTTAAGGATGCTTAATGCATTTTAATCACTGTCTGAACTGTCTTGACAGTTACTGTCGTTAGAAAAAAACGTGCAGAGAATTTAAGTGAAAGATTCTTGTATTTGAAATTGAAAGCATTATTATCATTGGCGGAACTAGGATTTTTAATCAAATCTAGTCTTAGAATTTTGAGTAAGGAGTCCGGTACACATTTTTTGGAGATTCAAGCCCCCTCTGCCCCGTACTTAGTAGGGCCGGCCCTGCGCCTAGGCACACTAGGCGGCCGCCTAGGGTCCCCCAAGATCTAGGGCCCCCATCAAACGAATGCAAGAAGAGTTTACTTGAATATTAATCGATGTAAATGCAAATCTAAATTAGTTATACAAGCTTTAATGTTAATTTTATAAATTTTATTTGAGGTACTTTTTTTAATGTAAAGGGTCGGCCCTGATGTCTAGATTACTAAATTATTTCAAATGTGACATATTGACAAATTACTTCTCCTTTCACAATTAATATTATTTTACTGGTTTCGCTAGTTTACGTCAGCTACTCTCGTTATGTATTATAATACCTCATGTTTATTCATGAAACTAGTCATGTGCTACTCCATTCAGAAACTCGTTTAGCATAATAAAATGTTAATTCTTTCTGCATTGTTTCAAAACAATTTTGAATAAATATCTAAAAAATTGAGAACATCTTTCCTACGACCTAGAGATGTTATGACATCGGTATTATTTTTTTTCTGCTATTTTATCTTTGCCGGAAGATAATTATACGAGCGGATGTGTGCACGCTCGTTTATTTCTTCCACGTTTCTAAATAATTCATCACGAAACTATTTTTATCTCGAAATTCATCGTGCGTAAAATTGTTCGGACGTAGCCGTACCTTCTACGACTTTTAATTACGTAAGGAACCTGTGCCATTAACAATAAGCGAAGAAAATAATTGAGTCAAGGTTCCGCGCGGAAACGAAGCTATGCACGTTTATGTTTATACCTTGAAGCCGATGACCCGAAACACTTGCATTTGGAAAACGATCAACGTATCTCCTCTTCAAGTATCCTTCATGCTGAAATATTAATGCAAATAAATAAAGTTCGTGCGCATAATACTAGTTGCCTGTTTATTGTACTTATTTCATTGCTACATACCTACTTAAATATACGGTGCAGTTAATTTTGTATATTGATTGTTTTACACTCCATGGGATCTGTATGTAACTCTTGTAATATAGTACTTCTTTTCATATCTAAAAGAAGATTATTAATTAATTATCCTACAACAAGCTAAAGTAAACTAGAGCGAGATTCCCTCTAGAGTCAACCCTTTTTCGCCCATTTCCGGTTAAATCTGAAGTGACAAAAAAAAAAAATTGAGCAATTCCTTGAGATTTTGACCCACTAAACACAATCTATATGCTATAGCCTCCTTCTCAAGATTGAAAATCTTAAATACGGGTTGGCTAATAAATGTAAATTGGAATGAATATTTGACATCGACCGTCAGTGATAAGTTTCCCAGGGGGAAAGTATGGTTTTTGGGAAAAGCAACGTTGGGAAACGCTGATTTGATAGAATGCAGGAAAGTCTGGGTAGGTACCTAAGGCACCTTTCTCTTCATCCCATTTCGAACAGGACAGTACTTCACGTTACAATACCGCGTCAAGTACAATAAAGCTTTCGTTGTTCCTGTCCGGGTTCGTTCTTCACAAATTTCTACGCTGATTCCGCTACCAAAGGGTGCGTCCATGTTCGCTGTGGACAGAGGAGAATCTAAATCGAGGACAATAAATATCGTTTGCGAGAACGAACGTTGATAGACTCACGGCGCCGCACGCGCGTCCAGTTTTCTCGTATTGTTGTCGTCGTCCCTGCCAAGAAGCAGGAATTTTCGTTCGCACGCTTCAGTTTCGTTAACCGTGAATTTCTGGCGAGACGTCTTATCACCGTCTGGAGAAAATCAATGCTCGGGCAACCAGAAAGAGAATCGTAATTTTCTTTTCTTCGTCGTTAACGTGCCCTTCGTGAAAATGGAAACCCGACGTCGAGCTGAAAATGGAAGTTGTAAGTGAAAATAATCAACCAATTACCATTTCCTTCATTACCATTCGTCAGAGATTAATGATGCGTAACGACCTGGTACCGTAATAAGAATACGTGAATGGATCTTAGGTATTAATGCACGTGAAATATTAATTGCAACCATTGTATACCTAAAATTCATTTTTTTCAATGTCAATCGAGGCACAATTGTTGCAATACTGGAATTCTTCTTCCTCTTCACGTGTATTTCAAGTATCGTGTACATATTTTTAGAAGCATTATTTAAAACCCTCGTCGACTCCTTAGAATGATAGATTTTCTGAAAATAAAAATTCAAATTTTATTCTCTGCTTTATACTTCTAGGGAGTAAAAGTATACAAAAGAGTTGTAAAACTGACCGGCTATATAGGAAAGGATATGCATGTTCTGTCAAGAATAATTCATGAGTAATAACAGGATACACTGTACAGCTGGTTACGTGTGTACAGATTCTGATAATAAGAACTTCCGATATTATGAATTCTTTCAATCCCGATGATGCGAAACAAACTTGCCATCAATTATCAACGCGTTGATTTTCACAAGGATCATCGGCGATCGATGTAATATCACGAATATGTGACGCTGGACGTTTAAGTGTTAAATGAAAAGGCGAGTAGCGAGCAAATAGCAAACCTAATTGAGATTCTAGGACAACAATGCCTCGAGGTAATAGACTTAACGGCTCGATACAGTTTATACCGATTAGTCTTCACACTCGTAGCGCTCATTTATCCACTATACATTTTCAAGCAATTATCTTTCTCAACTTTACTGATAGAAATTACTGACCTTACTCATTGTATTTTCCTCGTGTACCCGTGAATTTCATGTATCGACTGGCATAAGAAATTAGAACTGTCGAGGCGATAATAGTCCACGTGATGGTCAATTATCTTCTATGCATGTATTGTATCTACAATTCACATCCACTTGTTTAACGTTAGCAATAACTGCATGTTTCGTAGGATGTCTGTTAGTTGGATGTTTTCTTAGAATTGCGGAGGGAAGACGGTTGATCAGATTGCGTAATTTATTCCATGTAGTGTGTACCATGTAGTCAGGGCCGGCCCTGAGGTTTCGGGGGTCCGAGGCAAACCCCTTTACAGATATGACATCAAAAAAAGTAGCACAAATAAAATTTATAAAATTAACATTAAAGCTTGTATAACTAATTTAGATTTGCATTCTTAGACGGAAAATCGTCTTATAGGGGCCCTGGACCTTCGGGGGTCCTAGGTGACCGCCTAGTCTGCCTAGTCCCAGGGCCGGCCCTGCATGTAGTATATAAAGAATCCTGTTAATTTTGAAACGGTACAGAATATTACCAATAAATTCCACTTAATTTCAGAAATTGACTTATCTACACCAAGATGAAAAATATTATTCCACTTGTTCCATTTGTTTGTAGTTGTACCATATGCTTTAAGATGCTTTGTGCATGGAAAAAAACAACGGCACAACCAGTCATCGGCGCATAAAAACGCGAGGGTCGAATTAAATTAAACAGTTGATCGATCCCTTGGCTGTACAATCTTTCTCCGGAATTTTCCCTCCAACCTATTTCGATACAGCCAAAGGTAATCATTCGTAAATAAGTCAATAGTTTCTCAGAGCAAATGTTCACCGTAAGAGTCGAGATTGAAATAGATCAAACGTTACTGGTAAGTTAGCAAATAAGTTAAAGGTGCCCTGACCATGACTGCAGTAAAAGACGATGCATCCATCCATCGCTCTTCGATGGAAGTGGTCACGTCCTGGACGCTTGCCACGAGGAAAAGTCTATATGTAAAATTACCTACTGCCCGACCACTTTGCATCCCGATTCACCCTGACAGTAATAATTGCTGTCTGCCAGTCTTATGCAATTTTTCTCATTTTTTCATCCTCTCTGATGATCCTGTTTTCTAAAAGAAAAAAGATGAATTTTCAAATGAAACATTGTGCATTATAGTAAATGATACGGAGTAACATAAAAGAAGCTTTAATACCGTTTATAACCAGTCATTAAAAATGTGGTAAATTTATTTCGTCGTAAACCGAACATCGGTTTATATTCTGATCCATTATTCGGCACACGTGCAGTTGCACACTTGTCGATATTTCACAGTCACGTTATTCTCAGAACGAACGTAAAAAATTTGAACAGGAAACTGTTCGAGGCATTGTTACAATAGCCAGTCCGTGATTTCTTTGTGCTTCAACTTGGAATGCTTTAAAATATTGCAAAAATCATAATAATAATTAATGTAGGAATAATAATGAAGAAAAATATTAATATATGAATTATATATATTTATATAATAATTAAATTTCATAATATTTATTTGTAAATTAAAAAGAAAATATTTATGCATAAATGAAATAAATTTTGCTAATATTGTTTATATAATGTTGCATTTAGAAAATATCAATGCATTAATGCATACATGTCTTGTAGCAATTCTTCATTAAAATCAGTACACTATATTTTATCATCAGAGCAAGTAAAAATGAGATAACCATCTATGTAGTTTCATGAATTATTTATATATCTCACGTAACCAAGCCTAAAGCAACCACTGTCATGAATATCCAATCAGTTAATTCATATAGACATATTGGAAGTATGGTCTTCAAAATCCAATAGTATACTTACTATAATTTTTTAAATAAAATCTGTATGTATAAATACAGTCAGTCTTATAACTTTTTAACGCAGTCATTATTTTTTTTAAAATAGATTTAAATCCTCTCAGAAATCGATCATCTCGAATCATTTACCTATCGAAAAAGTTCGATTTATTTCAAATCTTCGTACAATACAAAATTACTGCATGTTATGTATGTTAAGACTTGTGTTTTTCTTTGTTATCTTTCCTCTCAAAATATTATGTTTAAAGGTACTATTAATGCCCCCAAAAAAGTAGATTAAAGTTACGACATGTAATCACAAGTTCAGTCGGTTAGTCCAGCTTACACGCAAATAGTCGAAGACGCTCGGCGATGTGTGGTCGGCTCGATTCGGCATCCGCTCGTGAACGTTCGTCGATGCTGTATCGTGGCGTTTTTGTTCAGTAGGCTAGTGTCTTTCGCCGTCATCGTGTAATGCGAGCTGGTCCCACGCGGAATGTTTTAATACTTTGCTTTTTCAATAACACGATGCTAGATTAAGCACAAGTTTGTGTTTTCTTTTCAAGTGTTCTTACTTATTTATTTCCGTTTTTGGCTTTATGAGCTTCATAGTGAAAAGTGAGCAAAGCGTCATGAATTTGCGTGTCCATTTGTTTCCACCTCCAACTACCCTAAAAATGGTAAATGCAATTATTGACCTATAATCATTCAATAATATGTCATACTATTACTTCTTTACAGTGAGTTCTACTATAAATTTTAATGTTTAAAATTAGGAGATTAGATATTATCGCCTGTAATATATTCTTAGATGTTTACCATATTTCTTGCATTCGTAGCCGACACGAACACGATAGCGCAAGGTTCCAGACAATTTGTTAACCTCGTACATAATGACACAGTGTGTTTGCCGATAATCTTAGACGAACCTAATCATTTTTCACTAGTAAACAAATCTCACCATCATCCCTCGGCCACTTTAATCACGATTTAATTTCGTACGTGACCCGGCACAGCTCTATGCATTCTGTGGTCTCTGTATTTTTAGTGATATTGGCACGTATCACCAAACGATATTAGCTACAAGACTTTCGGCAATGTAGATAATTCATTAGATTTTTACAGAATATTAAAATCAACCAATATATACCTGTTTCCATGTTCTTTCCGTTTTTTATTTGTTCATTTGATATTCGTATCTATAGTGCATCTAATTAAGATTTACAGGTTACTTTTATACTGCTTCTAAAATATGTAATTAAAAATATTAAATGTAGTTTTATTTATTATTATTATATTAATATTATTACACTTTTATTATAATATTATTATAGTAATATTAAATTTTTCTTTACAAAAAGAATAATATTTAATTACCTCCTCTAATTATCCCTTCTCTTTGGCTGTTAATAATTAATACACACTGCGCTATATTTAAAACACAAGTGTGACATATTTAAGCCTTACTTTGACAACTCATTGAAATTTCAGTATTATTTTGTACGTACATACACTTTGAAAGTTTGTATACTTCAACTGGAAAACTGCACTCGCCGCCATTTTATGGTATTTTGAATCGAAGTTCGAAATTCGATTATCGAATACGGTATATTAATGGCTGCCAACATCTTTACCGGTTTTTCGTCTTCGGGAAACTGTTTTAGATCTTCAGATCAGTTATTTTAATCCTATCTTTTAAAATAGTAAAATATTTTTAGCAATGATATACATATATACATATGTATGACCACTTTACAAAGTGCAATGATCGAAAAAGTACAAATCTCTAAACCACTTCAATGTTTCGTTTAGAAACGGAAAACGTGAGAACGTTATTTCCGTGTGTACATCTCTTTAAATTTGGAGTGACGGTAAATTAAAGAGATCGCGGGAAACGTATCATTTGCTTAATAGCGCGTAAATGAAATAGAACTCTGTGCGTGCAGCGCCCCCATTATTCAAGTACTGTCAACGCGTTACCACTTACGCATATCATGCAAGATTGAAATTCAAATCACTGAACTTTTTATTTATTTCCTGAATGTACTATATTTTTTAATAACTTTTAGCTTCGCAAGTATGTTGTTAGAAGCGTATTCCAAGTATATAACGCGATTAAAAACCGCGACTTTTCGATAGAAACGTGCGCCATTAAAATGCCGGGTAAACTACTGCGCATGCGTGCGAATATTTGAACGACGTTTGAAATTTCAGAACCTTTCGCGAAACGCGTACGTGATTTGTACTGAAAATGGGTCGCTGTGAATGTTCGTTTCCTTTTACTTCGTGCATTACGCACGTGTAGAAACATTACATGATAAAGTTCAACGTCTTTTTTTCTTTTTTTAGCGTTGGTCAGAGCCGCGCAAGAATCGAGCCTAATGTCCGTATGGTCAACAAGCACTGGACGCAATTCAGTGTTTGGCGTGGAGGGTGGAGCGGTACTCCCCTCCTCGCATTTGCCGATCCACGTACACGTGGCTCGCACACATCTGCGCAACGCTGACGGCCACTGCTTCCACAAGCGGTTCCACGACTGTCAGGTCGGTAGTTTCCCCTTGTTTCTTTCATCTCCTTGCAGTTCGTTTCCTCTTTATCTCTGCATGTTACATTACACTCTTTCGCTGTCTTCCAATTACACGTACGTTTTTACATGGAATTATAATCAGTTTTCAGTTACATTTTTACTGTAACGTTGTACTTCAAGCTTTCACAATTTTGTAACATTATTTTTTTATCTCTTTCTTTACTCACCGAACTGTTCAAGTATAACATACATTTGATAGTATTATGATTCATAAACAAGAGAGTATATTGGATGTCAATTGAACTTCAACGAGATCAATTCACTTGTTGTTCGATTTTTAATTGATAAAGCACGTTAAAAGTATATTCCATTGGAGAGGAACAGTGAAATGTTCGAGTTAAGATTAATGAAATTGTTATTAATCGCCATCCGGAAGAAACTCGTGTCGATATCCATTATCATAATGTTGAAGCACCGAGCTGGAACAAATTGAGTTTATCTTCCATTCGCGGGATCCTTGGAAACGTGGATAAAATCAATCAGAATTGTTTAAATGGTATTACCATTTTTCTTATCAACGGAACACAATCTGTATCTCATAGTTGTATACGGGATAATTATCCTCGCGCCTATTCCCTCATCTGTGAATTTAACTTATATAAAGCAGGCGCACAGGAAATATTAACACTTTAGCGCAGCTTGCCACGCAAATTATGTATAAACTGTGAACGTTATCATTGGCGTAACTTGAATTTTTTCCGAAGATGGGCCAGATTCCTTAATTCTAACAACAGAATTCTAAAATCTTTGAATCCTGGAATTCTGAAGCTTCAGAATCATTGAACCTTAGAATTTCAGAATAACAAAGGGGCCAGTCCACGTTTTAAGGGGGGCTTCAATTCTTGACCCTACCTACTTACGCCAATGACGTATATCACGTGCAAATTGAGGCCTGAAAAAAAAATTATTTTATCGCATATCCTACACACACGGTTACTCCTTATCTGAACGAATGATAACGCAAATAAAGTTCATTGAAAAGAAATAGAACTCAACCCTTTGAAATTTGTATAATTTTCTTCGACAGAGAATCGTGTTTGTTTCTTGCTTGCCAGACTTCCCGCAGACGTGTCAATTTATCAGTATCAAATTTCTCTTTACGTTTACAAGATTTTCATTAATTTTCCTTGTTATTTGTTTCGTTCAGCACCCATTGGTTTTTTGTCCTACACGGGACTTTTGGCAAGTTCTCCCATTGGCACCAACGTTGCCATCTACTTTCGGTACGTGGTCTTCCTTTCTTACGTGCTTGTACAATTGAACGCCAATTATTCGAGCACTGATTGTTTCTGGATGTGCAATTATTTCGTTATTCGAGGTACGTTCTAAAATATAAAAAATAGAGATTAGCCTTGTTATCGTCGTATCACGTCGTATAAAAAAAAAAGGAACGTTGATACGTGTAACCTCGTATGACTATTTAAAAAATATTCTTACGTGTTCGTATTAATTAAAAGAAATAACAATTAAAACTATACAAGAATCTCGAAACGAAAAGCTTCGAGGGAAAACAGTTTTATGTATGAAGTAACCAGGTTTACACTATTCATTATTTAATTATTTAACATGGCAATGCAACGTGTCTACGCTAACTTGTATCTTTTCTATTATAGACGTTAATTTTATGTATTACTTCACTATTGTATCGCGTTGCTCGATATAGCTTGAATCAATGAAGCATGTTATAATCCACCGCTGCGTGCTTATCCGGTGTTACAAGTTAGCGTATCGTTCTTATCAAGAATATTGTACGACCAGTTGTGTTTTAATTGAATAATATTGCACATCTCCGAATAATTCACCTGTATTGTCTGTATTCTTTTTTCTTCCTCAGTCAAAGATGTCGCAGTCGGGAGATGGCCTTCACACGCCGGGTTATCTCTCCTGGAGAAAACTCCAGCTCAGCCGAGCGAAGCTTAAAGCGTCGAGCAAGACGTCTGCTCTACTTTCCGGTTTTGCCATGGTACATTTTCTGTGACATAATAATAGATACAATGAACTATTTTAGAGCAGTGCTGTTCTTAACTTCTATCATTGCTACTTTTAATTATATCATTGTTTATGAAATAGAAAACATAAATATAAACATTTTCTTTTTTTTTTTGTTAATGTAGGTCGCTATGGTAGAAGTACAATTGAACTCCGACACTAAAGTTCCTTCCGAGATGTTAATCGCCTTCGCCGTGTGCACAACACTGCTGGTAGCAGTACATATGCTGGCTCTAATGATATCTACGTGTATCCTGCCGAACATAGAGGCTGTTTGCAATCTCCATAGCATAAGTTTGGTACACGAGTCGCCGCACGAACGTTTACACTGGTACATCGAAGTGGCCTGGGCGTTTTCCACTTTACTAGGACTCCTTTTGTTTTTATTGGAGATAGCCATACTGTGCTGGGTGAAGTTTTACGACTTCTCCCAAGTGGCTGCCTGGTCGGCGTGCATCGTCTTGATACCGGTGCTTATCATCTTCCTAGCATTCGCGATACACTTTTATCGAAGCCTGGTCGCACACAAGTACGAAGTCACCGTATCTGGAATAAGGGAACTGGAGTTACTTAAAGAACAGATCGAATCGACTGACGTCGAGGGTAGAAACGGTGTGAATCTGTTACAGTCTACCGGTGTGACGCACGTGGTTTGAACCTCTCCGAGCGTTGTAGGTCTGAGTTAATTTTTAAATGTGATAATCTTTTTTTTTTTTCGGAAGAGTAATGAGACGGGGCTGAATACTTCATTGGAAGGAGAAAGTGAAAGAGAAGCACGTGTATCAAGAACTATGTCAGAAAAGTGAATCTCCCGTGTGCGAATTTCAATCTGGGAAGAAAGACTTTGTTTATTTCGTTCCTTGCGTTACTTCAGTCTGCGTGCATTATATCGTTGAAACATCTATATTCTTCCAGAAAATCAACGCAATCCATTATTTCTCATGTTCACATATATTACAGTAAATCCTGTAGTTACCGACAAGTAATGTTCGACGAAAAGTCTGCGTATAAACGTGAAACATTCCCATTCTCGCGTAGCGACTTAATGTGTAAACACAACAGTTTAACGTTCGGTGTAATTAATTTATAGCTCGTTACGGCGACAGCTATAGATGGACGTTTATATTTTTCTTGAATACGCGTGACTAGACCGCGCAGAATGTACTTATCTCGTTTAAAAATGTCCCGTGTTACGTGTACCGTTATTCTTCTTTGTTCTTTTTTTTTCTTTTCTATTTATCTCGTGTAACATATTCTATGCTCAAGCGATTTGTCAAAGTTTTTTATACGAAATAATTATATTGCCTCTCTTGCGTTCGTACTTGGTCGTCGAGTTACTGCCGGTATTGAATAAATGATAAATTGTACATAATTAAATGCGAACGTACATACACGCTTTAATATATACACAAAAGCTAAGGCGGTTTTGCCGAAATAAAATATACAATACCTAGATTCATATTCTATTGCCTTTTGTATCGTTATATTTTTATTTATAAAACAGCATCTAAACAGGGGCACGTGTTTGTAGATACGCACACAGACATCATAGGCTTAGCTGGTTTTTTGCAAATTCGTTCAAAGGAAACGGGTACTATGTCTTCTTGATTATCAATATCAGATGTAACTTGATCATTGTCGGTATGTTTCAGTTCACTCTGTGAAACAAATGTACATAGAATTACAAGAAACGAAAAATGTGAATAATTTTACTTATTGTATGTACCCGTGGAATGGGATATGGTGTGGGACGAGGAGCGGACTGTCGCCAATATGCATCTATCATCGTCGCATTTACACAAGAATCGTTCTCCCAGAAACCGTGTTGTTCTTGGCCGGTGACTGTGTGATAAAAAATTCCGCGACCTTCCTTTTTGCCTTTGACAAATTGACCTACATATCTGTTACCATTAGCTGTAAAACAATTAATCCAAACATCTCATCTTTTATATTAGAGGAAACAAAAAACATTCATGTTGATTTTGATTTATACAAATCATTGTTGAAATTGTAAAGGAATCCAAGTTTGGACACCTGTAACGAGCGTTCCTGTGCCATCATACAAATCATTCTTCCAATCACCCTCATAATAATCGCCATTACAGTACCACATATAACCATAACCTTGGCGTTTATTTTTCCAAAAATCACCCTTGTAATAACTGCCATCTTCGAACCATCTGTGTCCAAAACCGTGCTTTTTGTCATTTACCCATTGACCAATATAATAATAACGAATAGTATTATCTTTTGTTAAAATTTTGCTCAAAATACCGCAACCATGTCTTTTATTGTTCAACCAATCACCTTCATACATCGATCCATCGCTATAAAATTTCAAAGATCAAAATTATTTTCAAAGTACCTTAAAAATAAATATCCAATATTATCGGTTTATCAGAATTATTTAAAAATAATATTATAATAATTTTTGTACCTATATAATTCTTTACCCCTGCCGGCCTTTTTATCATCTTTCCATTCGCCTCTGTAATAACCTTTAAAAAGTACTTTATTTTTAGGACTAAAAATGGCATGCCTTAAACCATTTCTTTTCGAATTTTCAATCATACGCCTAGTATAGGATTCTTTTATAATCTTCAGAAAAGGCATCGTTAAACATGATAAATTTCTTTTGAAAATTTACGCCATTTTTACGACGCACACGAATCGGAGCGCCTCTATAGGGAAATTTAGTTAATAAAACTTGACGAGGTCAACAGGACGTGTTTTTCTTTAAAACAAACGATTGAAAAAGTGAAAATTTACACGTGAAAAATTTCATATTTATTTTGATGTTAAGTAATTTCATCTATGCTGTCGTGTCAGTGCCGATAGTATTTCTATGAATTCTACGATCACAATCGAAGATATAGACGAAGAGGTGATTGATTTGGATTCTAGCCAAGATGCCATCAACGATGCTGACAAAGATCAAAGTGAATGTCCGATCGAAAAGAATTCACTATCGGACAACATTGAGGACAGGACGCATATACAAAACGAAAATTTGGAGAATGTTATAAATGCAACTAAATTGGTAACTTGTATTGATATAGATATACCGAGACCACTTTTTAAGGTTATGTTTCGCGACGAAAATGTTTCACGGTAAGAGATTATTTACTTTTGCGTGATACGTACTGTCCACCGATCACAAGAAGTCTCGCAGGACGGTACGGGGATGAAGGGGTGCTACACATGCATCGACTGACATCCTAGTTTTACACGAATCTAATTAGTAGATGTGACTGTTTTGATTGGTGAACAGTATATTATGTATATTTAAAAAAACTTGAAATATTATTTTGTACTATTTTTGTCTACTATTTTGTAGGCAGTATAGTAACAAACTAAAAAAGTTTTTAGAAGAATTAGTATCTTCCAAGATTAAGAGTCAAGAAAGTGATAGTGGTTTAACTTTAGAAATTTGGGATGATGATACCGATTCTACAAGTCAGTCTATCGTTATTACCACAGACAATGATGATAGTCAGGATATAATATGCGACACGTTATTTACGGTAGATACAAACCCAAAAGTTAAAGACGATTTTGATATTCCAACTTATGGGAAGGTTTGTTATTTTATTGAAATATTTGATATTCGAAAGAAAGACCACAAATTTGTTGTTATAACGTGTAGATTAAACTCGGTTACTATTATTATTGTGTATATTTTAGAAATATGAGAATGTGTTTGACAAAGTACAACTAGAATCAAATACTAAGACAAAGGATGATTGTCCACCAAAATTAATGTGCTTTAATTGTTCGGAAAATCATAATTTAAGAGATTGTCAAAAACCGCGCAATCAAAGTAACATAGATAAAAATAGAAAGAGTTTTAATATGAAAGGAAGCTCAAGGACGCTTAGATATCATTTAGAAGACGATCAAAAGTTTGGTCATCTGATTCCTGGTCAATTAACTAGCAAATTACGCAGAGCATTAGGTCTTAAGGATAATGAAATACCTGTGCATATATACAGGTAATTATTTTCAAAATATATGATCTTTAACATAAAAATTCGAAGGTTTTTGTGTCTTTACATTCAAATATTTTTTTTTTAGAATGAGATCACTCGGTTACCCTCCAGGATGGTTGGAGGAGGCACGTTTACAACATTCTGGTTTGACGCTATTTAATTCCGATGGTGTCGCGGAAAATGATCCTGACGAAGAACCAGGAATAATTATTGAAAAAGGAGATAAAGATCAATATGATATTAGAAAAATATACGATTTCCCTGGTTTTAATGTACCACCTCCACCGGGTACCCGTGATGTAAGCAAATATTTATGATGTAATGAAAATACTTTATTTTCATGCATTTAAATTTATTGGAAATTGACATATAATAGGAGCAAGTACAATACTGGGGTGCAGAATTGCAAAACATTCATAGCAAACAAACAATGCTATCAGTGTTAAGAGGGAAGAAAGCGGATGATGGATATAAACGAAAAAAGCTCAAAATATCTAATAATATGGAAAGAGATAATTCAGCACCGACATCTAGTGAAATGGAAATTGAAGATGTGGAAGGTACAAAGATCATTTTTTTACTGTCATTATAATAATTAAATATATGTGCAACAAAAATATGTTTGTTTTCTTAAATAGAAAGTGTATTAGAATGCATTCCTGTTAATGGACTTTTTATACCGCCATTGCCAAAAGAAGCTACTAAAAAACCACCACTACCCCCATTAGTAAGACAAACTATTGAAAAACCATCAGAAGCGCCATTGGTAAGGGAAGCTTCTGAAAAATTACCAGAAAAAGCTACTGAAAAGCCACCAGAACCACCATTGCCGGGAGAAGATATTGAAAAACCATTAGAACCACCATTACCAGAACCTACTGCAAAACCACCAGACCTACCACTATCGCAAGAAGCTATTGTTAAACCAGTAGAATCATTACCATCATCGCAGATAGTATCTGAGGACTCAGATTATCATTCTCAGGAATTGCAGTTTCCTGAGCCACTGGTATGTACAAAGAAAAATGTTAATCAAGATTTGGAGGAAAAAAAAATGTTTGGTCAGATGATTTAATTTTGTTCTCTATAAAATATTACAGGAGGATAGCATATCACCATCCCGAACAAATTCTCCGTCGTTGTCAGATTTAGAGAACATGAAAAAGCAATTACTCGTAGAACTTCTTGAAACAAATTCCCAGTCAAATTCTGATGTTTCGTCGAAAAGCAATTCAAATTTAGTATCAAAATCTGATATGCCACCGCCTAGTAACGAAATTACACCAGAATCAAACCGTACTCGTCGAAATGAAAGGAGAACGAGTCATGGAAGTGTAAAATCAGTTGATTTAGGTACTCCTGTTCTACAAAGTACATCCGCCTATAGTAAATTACCATCGTCCGAGAAATTTTCAAAAGATATTTGTGATGTGATCAACTTTGAGAACCTGCCAAATTCAACAGGTAAGTATAAACAAATGTCTGGGGTTTTGCATAAAGTGAGAAATACATTAGCAAAACTTCATCAATAACGATAAGAATTCGAAGCATAATTCATAATAAAATTCGGAGCATAGTAAGCAATAATTCTATTAGATAAGAATTCGAAGTATAATTCATAATAAAATAATTCTATTTATTTATAAACGTAACACAGAGACAAACGAAGTCCAGTGAAATATTCTTTTTAATCAAAAAGTAATGTATTTTAATTTAGATTGTATTATTAAAAACATTTTGGTTATAAGTTTGAAAAAAGCACATGCAATATCTTTATTTTATTAGTGTTACTTTAGATCATATACGTTTTTAATTCGAAAATTTCCAGGATAATTTTATCCAACAATTCTAATTGATAGATAAAAGCTAATCAGATATTTTATAAGAAAAATACGCTACTGCATTTGTCATGTATGTAATTACCTTACGTGGTAGGGGGCCTTGACATAAAATACAATCGTCCTTATAATTGGTCTTTCTATTTATCATAAAAGTAGAAAAAAAATTCATAAATTTCAACAAAATTTCATGACGTCTCACTTTCAAAAAGTACAAAGATATAGTATTTTTCTATTGATTGGTGACATTTTCTCATGTATTTGCATATGAATGAACATTTAATACCCATTAAAGCATTTTGTCACTTAATATTATTAATCAGTTAATCACAACATAATCGTGATTTTGCTTTCTTCCTTTTGTAGACTTTGATCATTATGCTAAATCATTTCAGAATTGGCGAATAATTTTATTGATATAAATAAAACCTTTATGTATATAAAAAAAAAAATAAATAATTTTCAAATAGTAAACTACTACTATATACTATGAAGTATATGTATGTAAAGTATTCGTCATTGAAATACAATAATCATAAATGTTTGTGAAAACATTTAATGTTTCTTTTTTTTGTCACTTATATATCACACGTGTATATAGGTAGACTGCTCATGTTATAAACTATAAAATAAAATAGTTGGTCATGAAAGATCATATACTTCGCTATTTTTATATAAAAACATTTTATTTCAATAATAGCAGAAGATTCACCAATTCTAAAAAAATGTGTATATATGTAAATAGAAGAAAAAATGTGTTTTTATAATGATGAAAGGATGAAAACAGAAACACTTCGCTAATATATTTGAAGTGTATTTTTTTTCCACCTAAGAAACTTTCATTCTTTTCTAGAATTTTAATCGGTTGGATCATTTTCATTCTATTACATGTCTGTTACTTTTTGAAATAAGGATTATACGTAGCATTTGTCATCTATTACATACCAGTAGACTATTAAATTCCATGTAATTACACATAAGTTTTTAATTATATGTATTAATTCTTTTCTACACAAATAATTTGTAAATATTATGTTCTGTAATAATTAAGTACAGTATATAAAATTAAAGTGGAGTTTATTTTCATAAACTAAAATGGAAAAATAAAAAGGATACGAAATATAATGCATAATATTTATTGTCAAAAATGTAAAACAGTGGAAAAGATTAATAGTATAAACCACTCGTTTTGCATTCGTTGCGTCTAATTAAATTTCAAATGTTTCATACAATAAAATCAAGGTGATTTTTTTAAGAAAACTGTAGTACTGCAAAATAGAAAAGGCTTTTATAAATACATCATTTTCTTGATTAATATGAAACGAATTAATTATAATACTGTTAAGTATAATTTTTCTCCCATTCCCACTATTGCCTTCAGTGTTAAAATATACTATAATATGGTTATAATAAAATATTAGCTTAATTCGTATGTTTACCATGTTATCGCGTATACGCAACGAATTTTTGATAGTAAATCAAAAAGAACGAATGGACCCCAACAGATAATTATCATTTTGTTTTAATTAATCAAATCTTGATTTACACGTTTCCAGTAAAATTCTATTGATACCTAACATAAATACCATAATCGTAATATTACTATCGAATTGCAGGTACTCATGTTATTTACAGTAACATCAAATATCAAAGTGCATTAAACACTTTTCATATTTTGTGTTTGATGCAATTACTGTAATAACTTGATAAAACTTTATTTTCATTTAGCGATCACAATTCAGACGAATGCGTTTGTGAATATTAATATTAGAGATTCGATTTTCCTTTTATTTGCGTATTGTGCCCCACAAAAATATCTTCTGCAGAATTTTTCTTTTTCACATACTCCTGGTATGTGCTAAACATTAGTAATAATAAAGAAGAGAGAGAGAAAGAGAGAAGAACAAATTAAAATATCTTTTAACCTGGATAAATATAATAATTTTAAGTGCATATATATATATACATATATACGTAGGAAGTTATATTCCTTAGGGCCAGCTTAAATATAATACTAACATAGAATAAATTGAACTATTATTTCCTCTTCGCTCCCTCTTTTCTTCTTTTATAAAATCAAGAAATTCTACTATAAAAATCCAGGTGAAAACATGGGTCATCATATTGCACTTTTTATTGTGTTATGGGTGGAGGTGCAGGAGGATCATCGCTCGAATCCTAGAAGAATCAAGACATTACGAAATTACAATAAGATAAAGCGATACTTGAAACAATATCACTTACACGCTCGTTATCCCGATCTTTAACGTTATTATTCCTCAGTTGACGAAGGGAGTTTGGTCGAAGAACATACATGAGAACCATAAAAGCAATAATTAAGCAGGTCATGTAGAAATTCGAAGACGTTGGTACCGCTGATGGTTCTGGTACTAAAAAACAAACTAACGTTAATTTATCTGAAGGAAGCGTATTATGAATTAAAAATTAGAATACGTACGTCGCGATACGCTGAAACATTCGTTATCCGTGCAGTAACTTTGGCTCTGTCGTAACTAAAATAATTAAAACAATGTTATTTAATAATAATTAATTAATAATAACATTTTCCATATGAGTAATTTAAAAAATGCATATTACTGTAACCTATACAGAATTCTTACAAAACTGTCTACCGTAACAAAATTCTTGCGTATTAAACGAAAACAAAGTATTGCATCAATTATATGATGTGGTCATCAATACTTTGTTAGTTCGTTTATTTTTTCATGATTTCGAAATTATCAACAAATGTAAAAAACAGAAATGATACAATGACAAAATTGAATTTATTATCAATCATATGTTTCCCTTCTATGGAATTTAACCATAATTGCACAGACATATGTTGCCCAGAATGATGAACACAGTATCCATGTTACTAAAATAGAAACTGAACTAAATAAAAAACAATAGATTTTTATTAATGTGAAACTAAAGTCAATTATCTTCAAAATTTGTCTATAACCACTTACGATAGAAAGTAGGCGTTGCATGGCAAGTTCATGGCTCCATATGCATTCGCAAAGATCAAATCGTTCAGCCATTGTAAAACCTGTGCATAGTTGAAATCGCAATGACAATCATGATATAAGTACATACAGTTGCAATGAAAGAAACATATGTCGTAAGCTCTGCTCGTTATCAAACATACGTCATATTGCAATTCAAGTGACAGACGCTCATAATATTTCTCATACATTTATACGTACACTGTAATATATATATTTTAATGGACCTAAATTGACGTACAATTCCAGATTTTGTTCACATTCGCGACACAATAATATAGGAGTTATCAAAAACGAAAGGAAACACGTACTATATGCGTATTTACCACTACTATGGTACTCCTAAGGTACAATTATATATAATGTATAGTTTTGTTCCGCGATAACGCTGCACCTAACGGTAGTATATTTACTGGAAACATAAACTGTATTGCTTACAGTCGTAAAAAATTTTCTATTTATCGATCGTAATGTATGTGCAAAATTTTCAGTTACTGCATAATTTACATAGAATATCGATAAACTTATCTTTTACCATTTGTAATATGTATATTATGTAAAACTGACGTTCTTTAGTTCAAATTAGTAAAATCTATAGACAATATTTTCAACATATTTCTAAGGATTATTGCAGATGCGCTCGTGTGTGTATTCAGACGGTTGTAAAAAAAAAAATACTTTTACAGACATTTGAAAAACACGCTAAAATGAGAATAATACAGTTGTATAAAAAAGGTATTTGTATTCGGTATATATATAGGATGAACCAAGTAGAATGTAACACATTCATGCGCGATAAAATATTTTAGGGAAACAAGAGAGTCCCTTTCGTTTATAGGGAAAACACCTTGTAACACTTTTCGTAATTCACCTTGTATACGAAGTGTGTAAGTACGTGTAAATCAGCTGAAATTGTAAAAAGACAATTACTGGTAAATACTTTATATGGAGTACAAAATAAAAAATATTTATAATAGTACAATTATCGAATAAAATAATCGAAAGATAGCTTTCTTGTAATTTGTTGACGTTACCGCCAAACGAAACAAAAAAGCAGCACTCTAAACGTACAATAATTTGAAGGAACGAAATATTCTAGCGAAGAATATTTTTATCCAGTTTATTCAGTATTGTGAAAATAAAATATTACAGAAGGAAAAATAATTACCTTTTTAGTACGTTATTCTTTGACACTGACAGGAAAAAGAGGAACCGTACTGTATTTATATTTGATACAAGTCAGCCATTACATATGTCGTGTTGTCGAATGTCGCACTGTCGCAGTCGAATGCTTAAGGTTCATTTATACGGACGGTGAATAGGCCGTACCACAGTCGACAGGCAACACCACTTAATGGCGGATCGGGTGTCCAATTTTCGATATTACATCTTTCTTTGATAAAAAATGACACTAAACTTCACTATTTCTTATTTATTATGTATAAACAATATCCAACTATTATAACTATAGTAAGTACTTACGATTAGAAGTAATATAGAAGTATATTAGCATATTTTAAAGAGACCGCCTAAAATTAAAATCTTTTAATGGTTTCCGAGCTTTCCCGATAGGTGGCGCTGAAATTCCTCTTCCAGAATCCTAGTCGGTAACTTGTTGAGTAGTTTGAGCCGTTTTTGTATAGATGGCGCTAGGATCAATTTTTAAAAATCTTAACTTTTGGCGATCTTTTTAAAATGCAAGTTTATCAAACAATTAGTTTAATTGATTTTAATATGAATTTTATAAGGAAGAGATAAAATAGAAATTTGGATGAATTTCATTTATTATAATGAAAAATAAGAAATACATACTTAGATACATACATACATGCGATTAGAGAAATTAATTCCAATATTGTGTTGTATGTTTGTTATAGTATTTATTTAAAAGAAATATGTATACATTGTTTAAAAAAATATGAAACAAGAAACCAAAATGAAATCCATGAATTTTGCGTATACTTACGAGTTACGACTCCGTGGACGTATATAAATAACATGTTGCCATTCATTTTTATGCAATTTTATTTAATTATCATATCACTAAAATCAGACATTTAAATATTACAATCTTATTAGAAGTATATATTTCTGTACATCAGTGTCCTTAAAATAATTGTTCAGTCCTGTTTCAACTTTTGATCTGTGACTAATCTGGAATTTAAAGTTTTAATCTAACACTTGTTAGATTGGCTGACATTGAACTTTATTGTTGGATTGATCGATAATACCTAAAGAATTCATATTGTTTTAAACGCATGTTCTACTGCAGATTAAATTTAAGATTAAAATTCAATTTTGAAATCTGATTTGCAAGATAATTAAGTTAGGTTCAGTTTTAATTGTTTTCTCTATTAATGCTTTGTTAGAACTGAAAATGTAAAATAATAATTACACATATATTTCGAATGCTATAAACTATTCCAGACAATTAACTCTAAGAATTTCTTTATCATTGTCATCAAGGTCAGAACAATACAATGCGTTGCATTCAGTATTGCTTTGGTTACTATTCATCATTTCGTCTTCTAAATCATGTTCGAAATCTATCTGGTTCGATTTCGATATTTCCCATCTAGGACGATGATGATTTTCTAATTTTAATTCTCGATATAGTTTCCTTATCGGTATTGTTCTCTTCAGCCGTCGTATAAAAGTTATTGAAGTCACCGACAATTTATCCTGAGATGTGATACTAGTATTACTGCCTATAAAGTTATCGGATACATCTGCGTACTCTCCACTATCAGATATGGCATCCCTCAAGGTCGGATCAAATCTTACTTGTTGAAATTGTTTAACTTTAGATTTTTCGTTGCTAATCATTCCATTGCTTTTCCTTCTGCTTTTTCTTCTTTTTATTCTCCTTCTAGGAGTATCTTCTGGTAATTCCCTTTCGTATAGTTTCTCCATTGGAATTATCTCTTCCTCATTGATTTCAATCACATCTTCAGGACCTAAATCATTTTATTTCCATTAGACTATTATCCGTGAAACATCTTTCTCAATTACTTTACCATCGCAACTATCTCTTTTCAATACATTATTTCTACTTTTAGTCAAACATGCCGTTTGTCCAAGGTCACCCCTAGAAGCATGCATTTTGCTTCCAGTCTGCGTACAACAATTCTTGGAACCACGAACGATATTTCTGTATTGTTTCCATGTCACGGAATTCTTAATTTTATTTCGTTCTTCCTTCTTGCAAGTATCTGAACATTTTTTACGAACCGGTGCGATCTTCAGATAAGGGTTATTACATTGTCCACATATTAGTTTCAATTCTGGTTCAGAGATTTCATTTTTCGTCTCGATAGGATTTTCCTTCTTGAAGCATCCTTTTGCTTTTTCAAAGTTATGACACGATTTACATTTTGTCCGTTCATTATCTTTCTCATGGTTAATGATTTTATGTTCTGAAGCTTTTTTCACGGTACTGTTTAATTGTTGCGGATTTTTGCTGCAATTAATATTTTCACAATTCTGACAAACCACGAGATTTGTTATATTTACCCCTTGTAGCGGCTGTTGAGAACGTTCTTTAATGTTTGAGCAGCCATCATTCTGTAAGGTACAGTTGGGAGGAATTTCGACTTTTGCATCTGAACTCGCACAGCTCGGTTTTTCATAACCCACCTTTTCTGTTCCAGTCATCTTTTTTAAAATAGTTGATTTTTTATTATTAACCCGAGCGTTGCTATTTATCTTTTCAGTGTCTTTTATTTCCTTATTGTGAACATTTCTCAATTTCCTATCTTGGGATGCCAGTTTTAATTTCTTATTTAACCGATCATCGCGTTTCCGTGCATCGTTCTTAACTTCTTTCGAAATGCTTTTACTCGTTTGAAGCGGTATTTTCTTGCGCGATTCTTTGTTTTCCTCTTGAAGCAGATCTTTCTTATTGACAATATGATCCTCGTTAAATTGACTCTTTACACTGTGTTCTATTTCTGCTTCGTCGTCTCCGTCATAAATACACGTAATTTGTGTGGAATTATCGTTGTTGCAGCCTCGTCGTCGCGTGCATTTAACGGATCGTTTGTGAACAAGAAATTTACATTTCCATGGATCCGGGATGCCTTGCATCAGGGGCAATCCTAACTCGTTCCATATCCTTTCAGTGGCGAACGATCTGACGCAGGAGGTTATTAAATTTTTCTGCTGAAAACACGTCTGCAGCGAATTACAGAATCCCTTTCTGATTAAATATTCTTTCCAGGTATCTGGAATACCGTGTCGCAGGTTGTTACAGTTTTCGTTAATATTTCCGACTTGTCCTTGACAAGAAATAATTGGCTGGGTTGTTAACAATTTAGGCGAATAAAATGGTCCGCGTACTACCTCGCAAATATGAAGATCTTTCTTTCTTCGAATTCGATTCGGAGATACCCATTTATGTGTCCATCCGGTACGTACTTTAAGATCATTTGTTTTCCCTCTTTGCATTCTTGTTTTATTCTGAATCATTTCAAGGAAATAGATTTGAAATTCTTGTTACTTTATAGTGGAAAATAAAACGTAAGGTAATTTCAGTAATATATTTGAAATACCTCGTAAAAAAAAAATAATCAAGGTTTCTTACCAGTCGGACATGTTGTGTAATTCTAACGTTTCTTACAATTATGAAACGTCCATCATCAGTTACGAAGTAATAGTTAAATATAATGAGTTTTTGTTAAAAATACTTAATTCCCTTGTGAGATTATTATATCATCCTAATATTTTTTAAATTCTTTGGAATGTCCTTTTTACCATCTTGTTTCTAAATGATTTATTCCTACAACGTAATAGTATTAGTTTTCCAAGCGTTAAATTCTAGTGTTTTTTTATAAACAAACATTGTTAGTTTAGTAAACTCTTTTACCTGTTTGACAGATAAACTATGGAAATATGAAATAAAAATGAAAATTAAAGGAATTCACTTGATTTTTCGTTTGAAATTAAATTTGCAACGTGCAGCCATTTCTTAGTACCATTTATTCCTAGATTGAAACAGGGCTACCAATTATACATACTACCAACATTAAACCGGCATATAATTAAAAATAACATCGATTCTTCGAGTGTTGTGTAAGGTGATGAAAATGTTTGAAGTGACCAATGTCATTTCCCGATTAAACATGTCTTTGTTACGATCATTACCCACCGGACTTAATAGAAGTTCAAAGATATTATCCCGAAGTGTTCCAGCAGTATCTTATCACCCAAATGTAAGTATTTATTATTTTAATTTGTCGTGTTGATTCTACAACGAACTTCCTCGATTGCCTTCGGTAATCAATACCAAATAGCTATATCTATTATTAAACTGTGTATATAGCATGTCTGACCTTCATATTTTAATTAACTATAATGGTACCTTTTATATGCAAACCTTTTAAATATATGAGACGTGTATATGTCACATTATCCGGTAGTTATAGGTTATGTTGACGTATTTTTATTTTTGATATTGCTATATTACATCAGTTCTCAAATAAAACCAATATGTGTTATTTTGCAGGTATTAGATCACTATGAGAATCCAAGGAACGTGGGTTCCTTGGATAAAAATGACAACCAAGTTGGAACAGGTATCGTAGGAGCTCCTGCCTGTGGCGATGTAATGAAGCTTCAGATTAAAGTTGACGAGAAGGGAAAGATCGTTGATGCAAAGTTTAAAACCTTTGGCTGTGGTTCTGCTATCGCTTCAAGTTCATTAGCCACGGAATGGGTCAAAGGAAAGACAGTGAGTACTATGTTTTTGTAAATTTTTTATTATAAAACATATAATTTATTGATGTATGTTACAGGTTGATGAAGCATTGGCATTAAAAAATACCGATATTGCTAAAGAATTGTGCTTACCACCTGTCAAGCTGCACTGTTCAAGTAAGTGATATAGCAAAATAATTATTGGATATAGGTTGACATTTTTATGAACTGTTTGAAAACAGTTCAGAGCAATTAGTTTTAAGTAAAACTAAAGGAAATATGAAATGTGATAGTTATCCAGTTGCGCTTAATTTTCTATGTAAAATAAGTACAGAGCTTAACCTCTTGTTTTATATATTATAGTGCTTGCAGAAGATGCAATTAAGGCTGCTTTGTCAGATTACAGTATAAAACAAAAGCAAAAAATGAAAGAAAGCAAAGATACTGATTCAAATAAAACATGATTCAGACCTAGACAGCAATGAAGAGTAGTGCTAATTATAATTAGCCACTAAATAATTCATAGTTTAGGAACTTCACAAATTATTAACTGTGATTTGTATTTAAACATTGTAACTTGAATTAGATGGAGAGCTTTGTGTAGAAACACTTTGCTATATTATATTTTCATCGATGACAAGAAATAAATATATTTAACTAAACTGTTTAAACGAAAACGATGTTGTCATCCAAATGATCATTAGTTCAGATTTCATAAAATCATCTCATAAAATATCTGTTCATTGCTGTTAAATATTATTTCTACATTTTAATTTTTTCTAAGCAAAACATCCAACCAACTCAGCAATTAGATTTTACTAGCTAGAATTAAGCAAGACGTTTACTTGCTTGAAGTAACAAATATTTTTGTTGACATGGATACTCGTCGTCAATGAAGTATTCCAGTGGCAATTTACAGCGTTGTTGACAGAAGCATTTCTATTTGTACATCTTGTGTTAACTCGAACCCATTACGCCATCAACGGCATTCTAACGCAATGATCGGCGGGGGGGGAAAGGGAGAGTCGAGATATCACTTTTTATCAATAAATATCGTTCTTTTAGATGTTACAATAACATTACAATAATTCAAGGAATTCATAAACCATTGTAATAATTTCATAGTTCAACATAATTTTTCCCATTTTTTTCTTTTCTGTAATAATATAATTTACTATAAAAAAAATTGTAGCATTAGATAAGATTGTATCTCCTGAGATATCCAAAAAGAATATTTTTTATTGAATAAATTTGTTAATTGTTGTGTGCGTTATCTTGCGATTCTCTCGAGAATATTTCTTTTCGCATAACCTGTATGACCACTATTATACGATAAGAAATATAGCGCGAAGGCATTGTAGTTTCCTCATAGCTGTGATTGTTCGATTAAATATTTACTCGCATTCTTGTACATATCTTCATCCGCGAGCAGGGATTATACGCATTCTCGAAGAATGTTTTCCAAGAATAAGACGATTCGATTCGAATTATCAAAATGCATAAACCGCATACGTGTTTTAAATACGAGAAGCCGGTTCGGTGACTCGAGCGTCATCCTTCTTATAACTGTCATCGCAACACCAATTGATGCTTAATAAGAACAAATATAGACTGAGTCATGCGTGTAGTTACTGCTGTCAATTGCATGTTTCAAGTTAATTTGCAATGGAGAACAATTAACTTGTTGTATTGTCTACGACTTTTCGCAACTACGTACGATCCGATACCCCGCAACATAGAGCAGTTCGTTTCTTATCTAGTCAAGATAAACCACGTGTTTTACTATTAGATGTCTTTTTTTCGACGAATATCAATAACCGCTGATTTTTATCATATTTTGATGAATTGCAAAGTAGACACTATTATATAATATAATTACATAATTAAAAGCACATCTATTGTGTGCTCTTCGGTATCTGGAATATCTGATACGTTGCTTATCGTAATTCTGTAGATTCAGAATGCAGATCTGGTGTACGAGTATGGAGGATATATCGGTTTGTCGCGCATTTAACTCCATACGGCTGATAAAAATGAAGTGTTCGATTCGATGTGTACTTGAAAAAGAAGTAGGACATTTGCTTTGATCAAAACAACTTTTTCCAAATCCAGTGACTTAATATTACTTTGAATTTAGATTACCTATATGGTATTATTCGGACTGGTAAAATAATACTGTATCTTTGTTTCATTTTAAAAAATTCTTATCACTAGATTGCCGGACTCACATTCGTTAAAATAGGTATAGCACATATGGATTTTTGGAACTAAGGAGCGGGGAGGGGAAGGAATTAGTATTTGGATAAATTTCATAATTCTATTAAAAACCAACATTTATTTACTTATTTATTTATTATAAGCTAGATTAATCTTTGAAATTACTCGTGAGCCAGACCTGCAAAATGATGCATCAATTAAAAATTAGGCATTCGATTAAAATTAATTTAGAAATTAATTTTGTTATCATGTTTTATATCGCATACGTCCTGCTTCAAATATTTTGTTACCATCCAAACACTTATCGTTGAATATACTCATAATGGTTTCTCTTACAAACACGTGGTACCAGAAATCCGCGATATGACTGAAACGATAGAATCTCTTTTCTACAAAACTATGCAATGACGCTGCATCAAAATTGTTTGCGTAGATTTCTGTTGGTGCGTTTCGCATTACAAATAAATCATCATGGAAATAAATATTGTAATATATTAGAACTAGGTAATAACCCGCTCTTCCCTCGCGTATCTAGAGCCCGTGTCAAAGAATCAAAGCAACCGAGAACAGCATATCGGTGAGACAATACTAATTTAACAATAAAACTTTTTTATTTTTGCTAGATGAAACCTTTATCAATAAAATTGTCAAGTTTTACTGATTAAAATAAGACCAAACGTGATACAATTTGAAGCATATTTGAAGCAAATCTAAATTAGTTATACAAGCTTTAATGTTAATTTTATAAATTTTATTTGAGGTATTTTTTTTTATGTCAAGGGACCCTTTTTCAGAGCTCGCCTCGAACCCCCGAAATCTCAAGGCCGGCCCTGCTATTGATCTGAGCGAATGAAAAAGAAAGAGAAACCGCGATCTTGACAATCGGCAAAGATCAAACCTTGATCGCTTCTTCCTCTTTTGCACTTGCTGTACTTTTTTACTTCTCCCGGGTTTAGCGCCCGTGCCGACGCATTACGTATCGTTGAGGGGATGCGCGCGCAGCTAAAATGTGCGACCCATAGACTTTCTAGAGAAAAATTGAAACCTCTGTAACTTTTGACTCCGATTATTGAGACGCACAAACACAACGGTTTTGAGCTAATCTCAGCGAGACCTTATTGAAATTTTATAAATATATTTATAGAAAATCTGTCATTAAATATTATTACAATAAAAACTATACAAAATATTCTTTTTGCGACGTTCTTCTCGTCGCTCTAACCCTAGTAGTTCTCAATTTGAAAAATAACGCTTTATATATATATAAGATGTTTCATTTGAAATACCTTTTATGTCAGAAAACGATGATACTGACAATCGATTTAAATATTTATGGCGCGTATAGAGTAGACCTTCGCACGTGTGCCTAGAACCGAAAATTCTAGGAAAGAACTGAACGATTCGTTATCCCCTGCATAAAATCCCAATATTTAGGGTATCGTAAATTGAAAAGGGATCGTCAAGATAATATAGCGTTTCAAGAGGCGAGTAAACTTAACGATGAGTCGCTTTTCACGATAAGTCTTAAGTGCGGTTTCCTTGCAGCGATAACAAACATTTTTCGTTATTTCCATTCAATATAATCATAGCACGAGGTTTATCGGTGCTCATCTTGTTTTTCCTACCTCGATTTCTCTATTCAAAAGTGGGACGCCGTCGCGCGACAAATATTAAATTCGTCCGGCGTTCCGTCGCACAGAGAAACAATATACGTTATCCTACATCGGTGTCCTAC